CATAAACCCTTAAATACATAAACAAAATTTTCCTAACCAACAACTTCTTACTAGTTAATTTCATTTTCATAATCAAACAAAGTAAACACATGGAATAAGTATTAAATTAAAAACTACATCATCATTCTGATACATTATTATCATTTTCGTCATCACTAGAAACATCATCATCTTCATTAAACTCGTCTTCAACAGCTTCATTTGTGGTGTCGTCGAAAAAATATTTGTATTCACGATTATGCGGATCGATGAGAAGGATGTCATTAACTTGTTGATCAGGTTTCTCGACTTCATTGGTGTGTTCTTCTTGTAAAGGTGGCTCTTCATACCATGTGGGGTAATCTGGATCGTCATAATCAACCTGCAAACATAAAAAGAACTTTGTAATTAATCATACTAACAACGAAGGTTGAAAAATAAATAAAACATTATAAATACATGTTTCCCCAATCACTTAATAAAGTGTTGATCATTTCTTCTGTATAACTCACTTGTGGATATACCCGAGATTTCTTCTTCGACTTGAGTAACAAATTGGCTGTAAAATTTTCTGTTAGTTAATCAATTCCAAAAAAATATATGTATTATATGTATATATATGTGTGTGTGTGTGTGTAATTATAAGTTTACTTATATATGTTTAACTACCTTTCAAAATAGCAAATCAATGCATGCTCGCAATTTATAAGAATATAAATGTGTGCACTATGTAGGTCTTCATCACTCGACCTCCAAACCTCTTTCAATTTCCCACCAAATTGCCCAAATTGGCAAAAGATATCTGGAGCATCTTTTTTCAAATATGTCGGCACAACACCACCATCATCATATATTCTTGGAACTCATTTCCAGGTACGTACTTTCAGTGCAAAGTAGTATGATATGAAGTTTGATGTTTCTTCCGTCAAACTTCCGGGAACTATAGAACCTTCAACTTTTGCGAGAGTTTTAGCTTTTCTTTTCAAATTTTTCATGGCCCGCTTATACTGATACATATATCCGTAATGTACAGGTCCTCGAAGCAATGCCTCATATGGGAGGTGGACAACTAGATGCTCCATGACGTCAAAATATGTTGGCAGAAATAATTTTTCCAAGTTGCACAGTAAGATAGGAATGTTCTCATGAAGTTGTTGAACGACATCCTCTTTAAGAGTGCATGTGCTTATATGCCTGAAAAATGCTCCAATTCCTTGTATATTTCAAAAATATAAACATATTAGTAGTCATATTATTTATTTGTGCATATAAATAAATAAATAAATTAAAGCATATGTTTAATTTATATATTACCTGCAAGTGCTTCATGTATTTTTGTTGGTAGTAGCTCGCAAATGCAAAGGGAAGTAATCGTTGCATAAAAACATTACAATCATGACTCTTCATCCTAGAGAACTTTTGACCTTTTTCAACAAATCTAGAAAGATTTGAAACATACCAATCAGGGAACTGCACTTCTGATGCCACCCATTTGAACAACACCGAATTTTGTTCTGATGACAATCTGAATATTGGAACTGAAACTGGAACTTGTCCATTGCTTTTTATATGTAACTCATTTCTTGAGATATCAAGTAAGTCCAACCTCGATTTTATGCTGTCTTTCTTCTTCCCTTGGAAATTCAATACTGTGTTCAGAACGTTCTAAAAAAATTCTTCTCTATATGCATCACATCATGGTTGTGACGCAAAAGAAGATCCTTCCAATAAGGCAATTTCCAAAATATACTCTTCTTGTGCTAGCTGTGCTGAACTCTGTAAAAATCAGACATATTACTGGGAACATGCCAACTACCACCATGAGGAACGGTTTCTAGAGCACCGTAGTAATCGATTTGCACTTCGATATGTTCTCCAGTTAAATATGGAGGATGAATGTCTCTCACAACCCTTTTGTACCTGAACAATGTCTTGTTTCTTCTGTACGGATGGTGAATGTGAAGAAATCGAGGGTGATAATCGAACCAGATAATCTCCAATGTGTAGTCCATCCAGACAACATCTCATATACAGGAAAGTCACTTATGGTCCACAAAAGCATCGCTCGCATCATGAAATTTGTTCCCGTCGAACAATCATACGTCCTCGCCCATGTTGACCACAAATATTTCAACTATTTTATCAGTGGTTGTAGAAAAAACCGAGAGACCTTTTTGGATGCTTTGGACCAGGTATTAATATGATCATGAATAGAAACTCCCGTCGCATGCACATCTCTGGTGGCAGGTTGTAAGGCGTAAGAAAGACTGGCCACAATGAATATTATCTCCATGACATTCCAAATGGACTAAACCCATATGTGCATAATCCAAGATACATATTCCGGTCATTGCTAGAGAAATCTGGCTGTACTTTATTTAAATGTTTCCAAGCTCTTGCATCTGATGGATGAGTCATCTGACCCTCCGTCTGAGTATGCTCGGCATGCCATCTCATCCCTCTGGCAGTCTCCTCAGATTGGTACAATCTTTTCATTGTGTCTGTAATTGGTAGGTACCACATCCATTGGTACGGTATCCTATTACGCCCTCGTCCTTGTTGTTTAAAGCGTGGTTTCTTGCAGAATCAACATTCTTCTAACTTCTCATCATCTCCCCAGTAAATCATGCAATTTTCGATGCAAATGTATATCATCTCCGAAGGCTACCCAAGACTATAAACCAATTTCTAAATCTCATAATAAGAATCATCAGACACATTGCCTTCCGGCAAATACTCTTCAAAAAAGTCTGCCAATTTATCCATGCAATTTTCAGGTAGATTGTGATCAGTTTTAATATTCATCATTCTAGCATCCAACGATAATTTACAGAGATCTCCTCTATAACCACTGTAAACTGATTGATTCGCAGCATCTAACATTTCGTAAAACCTTTTTTGCGTCTATGTTAGGTTCTCCAGCTTCATCATGAGCTACAAATGCATTACCTACCATATTATGAACCATATCATAATCTACCATATTTTCCTTCTGATGGTAACTATTTTCATTATGCAAGTGATCAACCGGTTCAGTCAGAAAATTGTTATTACTATTGCAAGCTTCATTCCCACAACTATAACATTCTCCATGTTGAAACCAAATATAGTTATGTGGCGTGAAACCTCTATTTACTAAATGTTTCCAAACATTTTTATGAGGGTTTAATTTTGAATTGTTGCATTTTTGACAAGGACATAACATCTTACCGTTTTCCTGTGTGAGCGGTGTAGATTCTGCTTGATGCATAAATGTCTCCAGCCCTTCGAGATACTATTTCGTCACTCTCCCGTTATTATCTCTGTGTGTATACATCCACCTCCGCAACTCGAAAATATTTCCATCACTGGACATTTTTTTTCTTTCATGTTTTCAATTTTTTTTTCATGTTTTCAATTTTTTTTCTCTTTTACGTTTTTAATATTTTTTTTGGTGTGTTTCATTTGAAACTCAAACAACATATTTATAGGAAAATTTTGAATTGGTAGGTGACATTTTACCAGGAATTTACTAAAAAAAATCGATAGGTATACGCCCAACAACAAACACGTTTACAACTAAAAAGTAGTTGGTCTCGTTCTTTTCTCGCTAAATGGTTTCCTCGTAAAATACATGTAACATTAGCGAGTACTTTACGAAGAAATACAATCTACCACGTAATATACTCACTAAATAACATATTTTTACGAGAAAACTTGTTTCTCGTTTATTCGCGATGGATTTACGAGAATTCACAATTTTCTCGTAAAAAAATGTAATTTTACGAGGATTCATTTTCCTCATTAAATTTTGAAGTTAAAAAATTGTTTTCTTGTAGTGATTATTCTAGTGCAACTATAAATAGCCAAAAATAAACGTACTTTTATAGCATACATAGCTAAATCAATTTTTAAACATTTTCAAATACATCAGTATATACTAGAATATGACTATTACAAATTACATAAAATGATCTTGATTTTCCTTTTTGACTAACACGTCTAAGGTCCTAAAACTTAAGGGATATAAGCAAAGAAGTGCATTAGAAATATATGGTTGTGTAGGACCTGCAGGTAACCGTAGAGCTATGCGATACAAATTGGTCCAAAAGTTAAATAAGAATGAAGAACTGATTTTACCAAAAAAAATGAAGAACCGAAATCACATGGTTCTAGCTAAAATCGGCACTATACTGTATATAAGCTAACTAACTTAGTATTTATGAGCTCGAGTACCCTATTTTTATTTTCTGTAGCAAATGAGATATTCATGCAAGGAAGAAGATCAACCACGTAAATAGAAAGAGAATTTTAAATGATAAGTAAAAGACGTGTCCAGTGATACCACCAATGAATATACTATACGTGTCCGTCGGTTTTGGTCAGCCAATCGTGACAGTTTAGCCAACCCATTTACAAATTTTATAGTTGTTGACAAAAACAAAGAGAAGATTTTGATTTTTTTATCAGATCCCGTTGTTGATACGATTAACTTTTCTATAATGGAATTAATTGTACGTACGAACATTCCCATTTATAATATACTAGGGGGCGTAGCCCCGCGCAAGCGCGGGGATGTTAACTGTATTTTATGGTTGTAGAGTAATGCTATAGTTTGGATAGGAAAGATAGAAGGAAGGATAGAGTTGTAGGCTATTGGCGACAGTGGAGAGTACGGTTTAAGAGGTTTTAGAATAATCGATAATCAGTTTCTGTGAAGGTATAAATTTAAATATTAATACGTTGAACATAGGTGGAATATATTATGGAAATGGTTAATAGATATGAATGAAACTGCAGAGTTGTGGAATTTGGTATTTTATAAGGTTGTTTATGTTGACTCGAACATCTTAGTATTAAAGAAGGCACGTAATATTAATAATGTAAGGAAGTTGAAGTTAAGAAAACACAATAATTTAAGGAACTCTGAAAAAATGTTTGCTTTGTACTCTGATTTCTTGTGGGATGATAAATTACAGTGGGATCATATGTCTTCTAAAGGAATTAGTTTTATTTCTAACATAACTTAATTTTACTCGTGCTTACTGTGTTCCATATCTCCAGTTATTAACATTCTCATATTGTTTTATATTTAATTTGTTTAGTCCTACGATAACCAAAAAGCATTGTAATTTATTTTCTTCTGACTTTTCTGGTATGATACTACAATTTAAATGANGGGAATTATTTAGAACAAAACGGATCTAAATAAAATAACAAATCATCAGGACTGAGCTGTCTGCAATATATCATACGTGCATCTATACATCTTGCCCAGCTACTACATAAACATGAATCATGTGTTTTAACAAATCTAATTTATCTTATGAGTACTACCAATAGATCTTTGGTACTAAAGCGTTTGGCATTTAAATAAACAAACAATTCTAAAACCTTACGGTGAAATCATGAAGCGCACAACAACTCGAGTCATCACTCCTACGTCCTCAAGATCAGACCCTTGGACCGAATAAATCTGGGCAACAACATCTGCATTGGGACACGCAATTCAAGATTTCAGAAAATCATATACATAATATATATGCAGCTAAACTACTAATCATCAAACTTAAGCGAGGGACACACCTGGAAGTTCTAAGTTAGTGTTTGCTAGAGCCTGCAGATGATCATACTGCCTCAGCATGAATTTTTGTTCGTTGATAACATGAGCACTGTCGAGGACTTGATCAATGGTGGTCTGGGGAAGAAATCAGATGACGAAAGGATGCTCTGTTATTTTGTCCATCTTCGTGGATCTAGAAACTTCGAACCATGAAACCTTCACAACAGAAACGTCAAGCAAGGATGGCCGGTAAAAACTGGCCCGACCAGCAGGGATGAAACCATGAATCACAAAATCCTGCAAATAAAAATTTGGAGCTTAAATCATGGATTCTTTAAGGAAAATAAAAAAAACCTATAAGATCAGAATCGTTCCAATAAGTATATATGATTTTTGAGTTCAAACTTGTTTGCAATACCACGCAGAAGAAGCGTGATCTCCATAAATTCACCTTGCTTCTTGATGTTTTTGGGATTAAGGCAGAACTCTAGCCACGACAAACTGGGAAGAGCGACCGATCTGGAGAGCATCGAAGGCAGTGTGAGATACGACGGAATCAGAGGAAGCCATTATCCAAGATGCTTAGTGACCTTTCTTGAATTGATAGAAGAGGAGTGTTTTTCAAGATGCACAATCCTCCCAATCCTTTGCTAATTTATAGATTTTACATGGAGGAGGTGAAGAGGTTGACATCAGCTGGAACTTTTATGTGAACAATAAAGTTTGGAGAAGTGAAGAGATGCGAGGACGAATCAATGGGGGTGGGGGGTTCGTTTGATTGATAAGGGAGATGAAGGGATTACAGTGGAGGATAGGAGTCGCGTCTCAGAGATAGACGGCGAAATAACTTAATTTTAAACGCTGTGTTTTGACCTTCCCTTTAAACGCTGTCTCTTCAGCATACCAAGCAGATGGTTTATAAATCAATTTGAACCGGGTTTAATTGGATTCACACGGATAAGAAGTGACGTGGCCTCTTGAGGGAGAGGCAAAAACTCCCTCATTATATATATGATTATAGTGTGTAAATAGAACCAAACTTACATACATGTTTTGAATATAATGCAAGAATTATATCCAGTGAATCTCGAACGTAATCCAGCATTTAGCTCATTTGCTAACAATATTAATTAATGAGTTAGTCCATTTTTTCATTCTAAATGAAATAACTGCAACATAGTATTAAGTTTTACTATAGTTTTATTTTATGTTTTACTTTCAAATAGAACAATGAGTAGAACATAGCATTTACAGTGTTTTTTTATATAATCTACAGAGTTAAAATGAAATAGAGTTCGATTTTTTTCTTTAAAATACAGATCAAAAAAATGATTGTTAAAAAAAAGAACGAAACTGCAAATGTTATAACTAGTATCTCTAATGAAAACAAATTGATTTAAAGTTTTATTGGTTTAGTTTACCACCTGTTAGTATTTTTTGTGGTCAAAATAAACAAATTTAATTAAGTCTTTGTTAATCAAACGAAAGATTTTGTGTTCATATATATGGACAAATAAAGACGGCTGACTGTGAGCACCATATGCAAATTTGTCTGTCATTATGTTTTGAGTTTTTGAAATATGTTTGAGCTTGAAACATATGATGATTTCTTCCAGAAGCTGTAGATCTTCAAAGTAAGTTGTAAAAACAAATCATTTTTCTAATTCTGAAATCATCTTAACCAACTGAGAATAATATGTTGTAAATGTTACTTGATTTTGTCTAAGGTTCTTCATACACTCTATTGCATAAATGAGGGTTTCGCATTCCGTATGCAAATGCTTCCTCTGTATTTCTAGCCCTTCAGCATCCCCTCTACACTTTCAAATGTATTATTTTAATATTTTTTCTTCTCGAAAAACGTATGAACTTTTGCCATGTACTCTCAATGTACATGGTCTAAGTTATGTAACATCTAATACATTAGTTAATAGGCAACACCCAAATAGTTTCTTGCATATCAATATTCAAACTTCAACCTATATTATACAACTAGTGCTAGTTGAGACTACGAATGTACATTCATGTGATCTCTGAAATGATATCCAACTAGCCAGTTTTGTAGCTTTAATCGTCGATGAAATATTTGTTCATATGACATTGTCGATCCGTTTACATTATGTTTTGGGCGAGAAGTTTTTCACTGGAAGTTCGACGTTTGAGCTCCTAATTTGTTTAGATCCACAGCAAGTTTCTGGATATATATTCATCAAACAATTAAATATATTTCGAAATTACTTAACATTCTTACAAAAGTAAAATAAAATTCGAAACACTGAAGGCCAATGGACATATAGCCAAATGAAATTTTAGAACCAAATTTTTAAAGTTAATTTATATAAATTTTATGATTGTTAAATTACTAAAATAAATTTATAATTATTTTATTAAAGTATCTATTTTTTTTCTAGACCTACCTTAATACACCAAAACCAATATAAAGAGACGTATCTGTGTTCTAGAAGAATATCTAGAATGGATTTGCGTCTAAAATACTATAATACTTTTTACCACCCACTTCATTCTCTTGTGATCAATGCTTTTGTGTTCGAAAAATCATTATACCTTGGCGAAGTATGTCCTTTCGCTATTTTGTTATTATTCATATTTATAGAAAAGGGACAAGAATGATCAAGAAATGTTCACAAAATGTTAGCTACATATGGACACAAAAGCAGCATCGTTCCACAAAAATAAAACATATTGCAATACTACTATTATTAACTACACATTTTAGTGTGCAGACATATTCGGTGAGTTAAACAATCCAGGTTTAAGATAACTCTGGGACACTAAACATGTGTGTCCATCTTAGGTTTGATCAGGCTATAAAAAAAGACCTCTCTCTCTCTCCTCTCTCGTTCATCTCTAGAAACAAAGACCAACCTTATCTGCTAAGCTCCGACGTCGGAGGCAGCGGTGGTTGGACGTTGCACGTTAGCTTCGACGTCGGAGGCGCTTCCTCCTCCTACTCCTCTCCTTTTCGCTTTTGCTTCAGTCGCTTGGTTCTTCTCTCCTCCAATATGAGAAATCTCTGGTAAGGTTTTGAAACCGGAATCCTTGATCCTCCCGGGGGGAGGGGGGGTAATAGTCTCAGTGACTGAGGCTTGATCTGAAGATGATTCGAGGCGGAGAGGATTTCAAGACGATTAAATCGGCTTTTGAAGGTGGAGCCTCAACAGATCTTGTTTTTCCCTTTCTGAATCTGAGTGTTGGCTCTGTCAGTGGTGGCGTGTGAGTGATAGTATGGGTTCTCTCCTCCGTTTTTCTTGTATTGTTCATTCGAAGGTCTCCTTCACAATGGAGAAGAGTCTATTGGCGTTCTTGTCTGTTGAATCTTGGCGTCTTGCTTCGGATTATGGTCCGGCTGGTGCTCAAGGGAGATGGTAGTTCTACTGTCGACGTGCTCTCAGCGGTGTGTGGTTGTCGTGTGGTCACTTCACCCCTGTGATGTCACGTGCATTTTAAGGTTTGGGGTTCTGTGCTGTCGTGTATGGCAGTGGAGACGCATTCCAGCGGATGTTCTTACTTTGCTCGTGCTCTTCATGGTTTAGGCTCCAAGGTGGTCCACCCTTTTCGCGCAGGGAATGTACATTTCTTTCTTGATTCACTCTCTCCGCCTCGTCTCTCTTGCGAATTTTGAAGTCTGAATTGCAATTGGGGATTGGATAAGGTTCTCTTGTCCTTCACAGGTGGTCGTGTTGCTATTACGGTTGAGTCAGCCTAGTTTGCTTGCGGCTTGGAGGCCTGTGTTAAGTTTGATCATCCCAGTGCCATGGTCTCCTCTTGATCTGGTAGATTATTATCTTCCCTTTTTTGTAGGTTTTGAAGCCATCTTGTTCCTGAACTGCTGCCATTGAAGCCTATATTTGTTTGGTGGGTCTGGAGTTGTTTATGGCATCAACTATGGCGTGCCTAGTCACCTTCCTGTTGGTGTTGCGAAGTTCGGCAGCTCTCTTAGGTTTGCTATCTTATTTCTCCTTCCAATCGGGATAGAGCCTAAAAGCCAGTGTAGAAAGTGAGCGTGAAGCGATCATCAGAGACTAGCTACTCCTTCGATATCACGAAAAGAAACGGCATCCGATGCAACGAGGTAACCTCACCCTTTAATTGGTTATCATTGGTGACAGAGAACGGTTAATGATATTCTGAAGATAGTACAGCACTATAGTGGAACGTGTCGGTATGATGGGCAAACGAAGCTAGCGTCATAATGTTATATTTAGAAAGTTATGTTTAAATCAAGTTTGTAATCGACACGTGAATTTCCGCTTTTTCAGGTGATGTTATAAAAACGTAAATATTTTTTTTAAACATGTGTGTCCAGACAGTATAGATATCTATTTCCCAATGCAAACAACCAACCAAAGTTTGTTTGACACCGACAAACAAATTCATAAGAAATTAGTAGGTTGGATCTAGAATCGTTGGATATCCTTGGATTACAAAAAAAAACTATTATTATTCAGATTTTCAAAGATCTTAAACTGTTATATATACTAGATTTTGATTTGCGCTTTACAAGCGCAGAAATATTATGTGATGAAATTTTTTACTAATAATTAATAGTTATTTTGTTAACTGGAATAATGTGTATTCAAAATATTTTTACATTTAAATCAGTGTTTTTAAATTTGATCTGAACTCGCAGTTAAACTGGTTAATCCAGTGATACGATAATTCGATTTAGATTTTTTAAAGTCTTGATATTTAAAAAATCACTAAACATTGAGACCAATCGATTGAACCGATAGATAACCGATATGTAATATTTAATCTTGTAAAATTAATTTCTATTTATCTTTTTGTTATTTTAAAAATTATTTGATTTTTTTAATTATTTAATTTATGAAAATAACTTGAAAGAAAATTGTTAGAAATTATTTAAAAAATGAGAGCAAATTTTTGTATTATTTGGATACAAGATTAATTATAGTATTGTTTGAAAACATTGATAGTAGTATAAAGAAATGAATATTAGTGATTTAATGTAGGTTTAACTATAAAAGAGAAATGTGTATTTTAATTTAAAAATTTATAAAATAAAAATTAGGTCTAACATAATAGTTTTACTTTATAAGATAGATATATTCTCAGAAGCTATCATATACTTATATAAACAATCTCATCGACTCAGCATCCGTAGGTATTATTATCTATTTGGATTTCAATTGGCATATTTAGCGTAACATAAATTCTCGTAAGATTAGTAAAGCCAAAAAGAAAGATTGAAAAAGCCGATCCAACAAGAAAAATAGAAAAAAAATAAAAAGACAACCAGTGAACGAAGGAATGACTCATTCTCAACCATAAAATAGGAAGGATGACTCATTTGATAAGATATTAGATAAATTAAACCTGGTTATGTGTGCATATATTTTATTTTGAATTCGACCAAAAGTAATTGAGTTTCTACTTTTGAATAACATTCTCTCGAAGAGAAGCTTTCAAGTGATTACAAGCCTACACTATTTCATCGAGCCAAAGCACTTATTATATCTTATCCTTTGATACCTCACAAGTTCCCATATTTCATGTTTAGATAATGTTCTTTTAGGGGTGGGCACGGA